AGAAAGACACACACACTCATAAACACACTCAGAAAGACACACACATACACGCGCACACACATACACATATACACTCACGCACACACACACAGATACGCATATACACACTCAGAAAGACCCACACTCTCATACACACACACACGTACACACATACAAACACATACGTACACACATACGCACACACACATACATACATACATACATACATACACACACATACATACACACACACACACACACACATACGCACACCCTCATGTCATTCTTTCGTTTATTTGTCCGTCAGTCTGTCCTTTTGTCTATCCGTCCGTTTGTCCATCCAGAAAAAGGTGCATTCTGCTGGTCCGTGTATTAAAGTTGCTTCCATTCGTTTAGCACTCACGCGTTTTTGTGGTTGGTTGGCGGGTGCACTGGTGTGGTGTGCTCCATCTTTCCCGTCAGACATCTATCCTTTTCTCCCGTTCCACCTCCACCACCACCGCCAACAACAACAACATCAACAACAACAACCCAACAACAACAACAACAACAACAACAACAACAACAACAACAACAACAACCCAACAACAACAACAACAATAACAACCCAACACCAATAACAACCCATCAACAACAACAAAAACAACAATAACAACCCAACAACAACAACAACAACAATAACAACTCAACAACAACAAAACTACAACAACAACAAAAACAACAATAACAACCCGTCAAAAGCAACAACGACAACAACAACAACAGCAGCAATAACAACAACAACAACGACAACAACAACAACAGCAGCAATAACAACAACAACAACAACTGCAACAACAACAGCAACAACAACAACAGCAGCAAAAGTACACCATATATTCCCACAACGTGTAGATCTATGTCGGCCGGACGTCACACAATATTTCCACTGACGTCAGAGATGTGCCGGCCGTGACCCGCGCAAACAATGTGGGTGGTTGGCGGGTGCTCTGGTGTGGTTTGCTCCTTCTTTCCTATCAAACATCTATCGTCCT